GGCGCGGCGGGGGGAGGTTAGGTGCAGCAAAAGCATGTTGCCTGGACCCAGGCTGGCCTGCCCAGGACTGGAGGGAGGGAGGGAGGGAGGGAGGGAGGGGGGGTGGGCTGGGAGTCACTCCCTGGCATGTGCTGGTGGAGGGGCGCTGGTGGCTGGGGGAGGGGCGGCAGCCCACATTTTCAGTCAGTTAGGACGGAGATTAATATATTCAATCCGCTCGGTAATTGAGGGAACAATTGAAGTGTTTTTCTAAAGCCCATAAAACAGCCTCATTGGCAAGGAGGAGCTGACCTGTTCCTATCCTTTGAATTTGATGGAACACAGGAAAGGAGGAGGAGGGTTGACATTGGGGTCACAAAGCAGAGGGACTGGGGCCTGGGAGGAGGCTGGCAGTCTTGGCCTAACCTGTTCTCACCTTCCCCACCTCTCACCACTTTCTTGGGAGCAGTCCAAGCACCACCTTCCGCCACCTCTTTTACCTCACCAGGGAAATGGGCCAGGGGCACTCCCCTTCACCAGGACAGGAGAGGGAGCCACAGAGAGGGTGGCACAAGATTCGGAGGTGAAAGGGTCTGAGGGAAAAGGTGCCCGGCTCCCCACCTCCACCCCGAGGCCAACCGGGCAGTAAAGTTAACGAAATCCACAGGGTGTGCCTTTCTCTGATTGCACCAGTCCAGCCTCCAGGGCAGTAGAAATCGTGTCTGCAATAGGAAGCAATAAAAGGCATAATGAATTTAAAAGCACAGTAAAGAGGGAGGGGAGGGAAGACCTGGAGTGGGTTGGCCCCAAGGCAGAAGGATGCCTGGGGCTGGGCCGTTGCACACCAGGGGTTCTCACTGGACTAGGGACTGAAAGAATCGGAGGAGGGTTGGAAGAGAGAGTGGGGGTGGGAGGGAGGGAACAAAGGGAGAGAGACTCAGAGGCAGAGGTTTAGGGACTGGGTAGAGGGGTGCTAGGGAAGCCACTGGCTGCTCCATTTTCATCCACTTCTCTGTAATGAAAGCCCCCAGCCTGTTGGTGAAGCAACAATCAGAATCCACAGGCTTACAGCCCAGTGCTCATCGTTCTGTGATTGCTGTATAAGCTTTTTCTTCCCTTTTTCCCCCTCCAGGGTTAAAACAAGTATTTTAAATGGAAAGAATAAAAAAGACCCTTGAAAGCGTCATTTAAAAGACTCCTGGGGAACAGATTTGTTCCCGTGAAACAAAAGTGCGATTGTTTGGAAGAGGTAAATGCCAGAGGGAATGGGGGAGGAGCCCCCACAACCCCCTCCTCCTCCCTCTCAGCTCTGCTTCTGTGTGGGAGGGAGCTCCAGGGCCAAGGTGAAGGAGCCTCCAGGCTGGCTCCCACAGCTACAAGCAAGGAATTTTTAAGTTCATGTTTCCAGAAATTTCATCACTGGGGATTTCCAGCCCAAAGATTCCCCTCTGAAATAGCTCTGCTTGAGGGAGGCTGTCCTTAAACCTTCAGGATATCTTAGGGAGGCGAGTGAGGTGCCAGGAGGAATGTGGCCTCTTGAGGCCCTGCTGTTCCAGGCCTAAGGCTGCTCTGGCTTCCTTGCTGCCCCAAGAGTTTCCCAGGTGGCCTCATTAGGTCTTAAAAGAGTCGAGTGGGAGTCTCCCTAGCTGCCCCAGCAGCCAGACTTTGGCCAGGACCTTGCTGCTTCCCTCAGCCTCAGGGAGTCACTTTGCCCATCACTGGGCAGGCCACCTTCATTGTGGTCAGATAGACTCCCTCTCTCCCCCGGAAGGAGGGCCTTGGGGGGGGTGGAGGGGGAGGGGGGCAGCTGCATAGTCTCAAACCTGCTAGGAGGTCAAGGAGGCAGCATCATGGAAAAGGATCAGTCTGGTGGAGGTCTGCCTGAAAGGAAGCCGCTGGGCATCCAGTGCGGCTGGCAGAGAACCTGGGCCTGGTTCTCTCCTGGGCATGGTGAGCTTCTCTCTGCAGCTCCCACCTGCATGACCCAGTACCCTCATTTGTGGATCTGGGGCTGAGGGAGTGATCTCGCCCTGGTGCCTGTGAGTGTGCTGCAGGAAATATTGATGGGGGATGTACCCTTTACCACCCTACTCTACTCAACACACACACACACACACACACACACACACACATACACACGCGCGCGCACGTGCACACATGGAAACTTGGGGGCTGAAGGTGGGTAGGTGTTCGCTGTCCATATAATCTTACCTCAGGAGAACTGATTGTCCCAGTGGAGTGTTCAGGATTTAGGAAAGGCTGTGACCAGCACTGGCATGGCCATTTAGGGCTATGTAACCTGTGGGCCATGGCTAAGAAGCAAAATGATTCAGATTCTAAGTCAGTCTCTGAAATTCACACTGAACTCTGTCTCCTGCTCCCTACTCATTCTGGATCATTGCATTCCTAGTCCCCCTGCCCTCTCCTCCTTCCTTCACCCTTACCGCATCCTTCATCCCAGGACGACTGGCAGTTCTGGTTTTAAAAAAAGACATGAGTTGAAGAACAACTTGTGAGCTTAAAATAAAATTCTAAACCAAACAGAATCAACCTTTGAAATGCCTGACACAGACAGGATAGGATAGTTTGGAAGGGAAAAAAAAAATCAGTGCAGAGAGGGCTTCTTGGAGGAGGTGGCTTTGAGTCTATGCATTTGTGTCTGGAACCCAGAAGTCTACTCCTGACCTTGAATTAAATATAGTTGAACGTGGCTCCTCTCCTCTCCATCCGTTCTGCTCACTGCCTTTGCTTCTCAACTCACCCCACCTCCTCTCAGTTCCTTTTCTCCTCCTCTTTAGTTGAGAATGGAAGAGGGCTGGGGTAGGTCCTTCTTCCCACCCCCAGGGCTCATTTTACCATCTACAGAGAGGGGAGGGAAATCACTACAGAGTGATTTCAGGGGTCCCTATGGTTCAAGGCCACATCCACTTTCTCAGAGAGATGGCCATAGGCCAGAAGGACAACTGTGGTCCCACCTCTCACTGAGAACTCTGTCTTGGTCTTGTTGCTGCCCTTCAGCTGTGTCTTTGAGTCTCCAAGTCAAAACCCCAGAAAGGTGCCTGCCTTCTTGGCAGAATAGCTGAATGAATCCGCCTGAGCTGAAAGCACCCTCTCCATTGTCTGGCCCTCACTGGCTGCTGGCCCTGTTGTCAGGGTTGTTATTGCTGACACCACCATTCCCCAGGAGGGAAGCGGTTTTCCTGTCCCTCAAAGCCATTTTCTTTTCTTGCTAGAAGCAGACATCTGACACTTGAAGAGGGAGAATGCCTGAGAGATGATGGCATTAAATAACAGAAATCAGAGCTGCCTACGATGGCTCAGCCACCTCTCTGCCCCCTTCCTCAAAGCAGTCCCGCCCCTCCCTCACATACGCTCAGAACTGCAGCCAGCAAAGCATTCTCCACGTGGCCTCTGGCTGGGGTGGCCAGGGCATGCTGGGACCTGGAGAGCAGAAGACTGCTTCTCCCTGAGCTCTGAGCATTTTGCGTATCTAGTCCTGTGACACACTCTTGGACAGAGGGCCGGGGCCAGGCCCTGGGGTCAGGGAGCTTGCAGTCTGAGGAAACAGAATGCCGTAGAGGAAGAGTATGAGACCTGGGCAAGCTGGTTCCTGGGTCCCTGGCTGTCCTTCCAGTTCTCCTGGCGCAAGCTGCCAGACCATCCCGCCTAAAGCTCAGCTCAGACCCTGCCTTTCTTCTGCACAAACTGCTCCAGGGGTCCCCCACTGCCTCCTGAATTGAATATTCACCTCACTCTGTTGCCACTGTACCCTGATTCCTTCCACTGTCTCCCACCCACCTCTCTACCTCTCCCAACCCAACTCAGCTCCCCACCCTCGCACTTCACTTCAGCCCCAGATCAGTGCGCTGCTGGGAGACAGGCGCTGCAAGAAAGACGGACACCTTGGGCTGTTAACTTTTGGATTCAGTCTCAGTTCTTTGTCCTGCTGCCAGCCAAAGCCTTTCCTTCTCCTCAGCCAGCTTCTTCTGGTCCCTCCTCTTGGAATACCCTCCCCAAAGCCTGAAACTGCCATCCCTAAGTGGGGTCTGACAGAGTCTGCACTTTACAAATATTAGATGGATGAATGAGTGGCTAAGTGAATGAATGAATGAATGAATGAATGAATGAGAGATTCATCTGAAGTAACATCTCTTCTGAGAAGCCATTCCTAGGCTCCAAAATCGGACTCTCATCCCCCAACTAGAGATCAACACATGCGTTCCAGGACCATGCAATGCCCACATTGCGTCCGGGGCAGTTTTAATTTCTGTTATTTAATGTCTTCAAGCCAGCTGGCACCTCAGCCCAGAGACTTACCTAGCTTTGGATTACATGCACTGGTCCCCAGGATATATTGTTGGCATTAAATGGGATCAAGCACCCTTGGGGATGATCTTGTTTCTCCACCTCTGAAATGGGCTTCCACCTGCTCTACTAGCTCCCACCTATTTTGTCTGTGAGGCCCATCAGACACATGCCTGGTTGCAGAGCACAGCCATATTATGGAACCCTCCTACTGCTTTCACAGGAACAAGATCCCCTCACCTGGGCCCAAGGCTGCCGGGGTCCTGGTTCAGAGCTGAGTCCCTCATGGCTGTGGTGTGAGCTGGATGGGTTAGAGGGTGGGCACATACAGACTTCTGTCTCCAGGTCACTTGGGACCTCCCTCAAAACCTGGTGAGAATGTATAAGATTGAGTAGGGGACTGAAGTGTCTCAAGGGACACTCACCTATTGGGCAAAAGAAATGCCAGCCAGCTGTGTCCCTGCTCTGTGTGGCCTTTGCGCTATTTTCTGTCTCCCCCTTTGAACTGGGACACCCTGTCTCCATCCTCAGAAGGCATGTCCTCCAGAACAGAATGAGGCCGCCTTGGGAAGTTCTGTTGCTCTGCTCAGTGAGGGAGGGGACAGTCAGGCTTACCAGAGACACTGGATCTTTTGACTGGGGAGTCAGGGATGCCAAAACCCGAGCTGCTACCCAGGAAACTCTCACCTGCCTCCAGGGCAGCTGGGGCTCTGGGCTAGGTGACATCTGCTCTGGCTGGTCAGCCCCCAGAGGGCAGCCTGCCTTGGTGCTGAGAGGCCGGAGCACGCAGAAGGCCACACTGTAGGCCAGGCCGTGGCAGTGGCAGGTCCCAGACGTGGGGTCATCGCTGGCCCAGAGCACAGCCAGGCTTCCACAGTAGCGGTACCTTTCCTCATGCTCCCATGAAGAGGTTCATAGGGGGATGGTCTGGAGTCCAGAGAATCCGGTAGATGGAAAAGATGGCCTCCCTCAGCCTTGGCATCTCCACCAGCAGCTGCTCATAATGCTGCCCCATGTTCTTGCAGAAAACTGGGTGGGGAACATAGCTCAGAGAGCATCTGGGATCTCCCCACCTCCCTCACGGGATGAGGAGGACAAGTAGGGGCCTCAGGAAACCTGGGATCCAGGCACTGAATTGAAGCCAGGCTTAGCTAAGGTTTCCCAGTGGGTGACAGCCTCTCAGGTCCCTCCCAAGACTCCTACATGTACTGATGGCCAGTTCAAGCCCAGGGTGGGCTAGGGAGGTGAAGGCTCCTAGCCTCTGAGATGGTCCTGGGTGCTACTACACCCTGAGGGAAGAGTTCAACCTGCCTCTGATTTCTGGCCACCTAAAGGCCTTGGGACCTGGTCTTCTTGTTCCCTCATATCCCTCCTCTTCTAGGAAGCCTGCTTGGATGTACTCACAGTCTAGGCATGGATCTTCTGCTCCTTCCAGATTACTAAACTATTCTCTGTTTAGAATTCCTGCCTTTCCACAGGATCTGGAAACTTCCTGAAGGCAGGGCCTGGTCTCCACCTCTCTGTCCACCCCCCATACCCACAGTCCAGTGCTGCTCAGGGCTGGGCACTCAGGGTGCTGGCTCTAGTGTTACTCTGTGTGCTGTCCACTGCCAGGACTGGCCCCAAACCTGCCGGGCACCCATTTAATGCTTTTGTAAATTCGCAAAGCCATTTCTCACCAATCCCTTCATATCTTCCTCACCTGACCCTGGGTGACCATCGTGAGCATCGCTCGGTCACACAGGAGGAGGCAGGGGTTCACTGAGGGCCAGCATTTGCCACAGGTCACACAGGCAGAGCTTTAGGATTCCATATAGAGCTCTGACCCTGCCCCTCCCAGTTCCCCTGAGGCTCCCTGGGGTCCTTGACAGAGGCTGGGGCTGGAGTTACAGGGTCCTTCTCCCCCTAACCCCAATCCTTACTTTGTACCTTTGGGCAAAGAAAAGATGTTATTCCTGGCAAGGGTGATGCTCTGGCCAGGGTGATGCTCTGGCCAGGATACTTCTGCTCAATGACATCGGTGACAGCAGAAGAAGCAGGGAAGGTGTTCCCATCATTCATCTGCAACTGAGCCCCAGCCCCAGAGGTGGCCTGCAGGGGGATCTCAGCTGACAGCTGCAGGGCATACCTGCCCTCCTTATTAAACTTCACACTCAGGACCTCAAACTCCAGGGCCAGGGTCTTCTCTTCTGCCTTCGGCCTCCAGCTCAGCAGGGATGCAGGAACTGGGGGTTCAGGTCCCCTGAAGGCCATAGCCATGTCAGGGACTGACCCCTGGGCTGAGCAATGCCCCCTCCTGCCCACAGTACCTGCTGGAGCCCAGTCTAAAAGCCTACATCCTGGCCACACCCACCCCTCACTGTTTTTCTTTGAGGAGAAACCAGGTGACGAGCTGGGAAGCTGGGCCTGACCTGGAGAAGAAAGACAGCCACTGGTCCCCTCCTTTCAACATTTGTTCGTTCAGCAAATATTTACTGAGCATATACTCTGTGTCAGGCACTATTTTAGGCATTTGGAGGTTGTCGGTGAACCAAACAAAGATTCTTGCCCTCCTAAAGCTTACCCTCTAGTGGAGACAGATGAAAATAAACATAGAAAATGAGTAAATAATAATGTCTACTAGAGATAGTAAATTCTACAGGAAAAAAATAGAACAGGGTCAGGGACAAGGAATACTGGTGAGGGGAGCACTTAGGTATGGGATAATCAGGACTTCCTACTTCTGAGAGAGCCTATCTCCACAGGTATTTTTATTCCTGGAGAGTTCCTGACTCACAGGGAGAGGAGATATATCTCAAGGGAAGAGGGACAGTGTCTGCCCTGGGAGCATGCCCTTAGCACCTGCTTCTGGAACCAGTTTACTTTCTTAATCAAAACTCACAATATGGAACATAGTTTCACTTTACAGAATGCCCAGTGCTTCTCACAGCAAAAAGCTGTCGAGTTGGAACCAATCGTCCTTGATCCCGACATACCCAGTGGGACAGGAGAGATTCTGGACACTCTTCAGTAAGAACCATCTCTACCATCACCACGTGAACCGTTAACACCACCATCACTACCACCATCATTATCATCATCACCATCGTCATCACCATCTCCACCACCGTCACCGCCAGCATCACCATCCTCACTTCCATCACCATCCTCACCTCCATCATCATCATTCTCGTTTACGAATACATCATCATATCATTTATGATACTCTTCATTGAGCAGCTCTTGGGTACCAGGCACTCCATAGGACTCTGTGAGGTAGACATAATTATCCCCATCTTACAGATGAAGAATTTGAGGCTGAGAGAACTTCAGAGGCAGAGCTGAGATTTGAACTTAGAGATTCTATTTATACTTGCCCATATTCAACATGCCCTGAGCCTGGCTCAAAGATTTAAATTTATTCTATTAGAGACTCTTGAAGCCTAAAATTGTACAAGTACAGTTCTAAAAAGCACAATAATGGATGGCATAGTTTCATTCAAAAGATTTATTTGAAGTCACCTTGACTGGAATGTATCATTTTCATAAAGTAAAAGGTAACCACCTTAAGGATGGTATTGACCAGCCCAGCTGAGAGCTCCAGTGTATGTGGTAAGCTTCTTCTGCAATGATTAAAATTCAGTTTAAGGTCCCCCAAGAAAAAGGCAAGACAAAGAGGGCTGAGAAGACCACAGTTCTAGTCATGTGACTTGCAGGAACTTGGGCAGATCTCCTCCCCTCTTTGGGTGTCAGTGGCCCCATCTGTATCATGGGCAAAAGTAGGGTAGTTGGGAGTCTTCCCTCAGCTCTGATGGCCTGAAACTCTCTAAGTCATATTGGGAAAGGCCACAGTCTGGCCATTGGTGGAGAGAGTGGGTAGCAGAGGCTACTTGGAAACCTTTACTTCCACAGCTGGGTCTGGCCAACAAGCCTGGAGCTGAAGGCCACAGCTTCTGCTAGGTCTAAGATCTTAGAAATTCAGTGATTCTGTAGAAGCAGGTTTCTTTCCTCACATGCTTGAAGTAACCCTCAGAGGTGTTCTAAGGTGGCAGCTAGTCTCTTCTATCAGGGGTCTAACCTCTGTGCACTGCAACCAGCCCCACGCATCTGCACGCAGGCCCCATGCACACGCTATTTTTTTACCTCAACACTTCCCTCTTCTCCTTTCTTTGTTTCTTTCCTTCCCTCCAATCTTTTTTTCTTATTTTTTTAAAACGATTTTATTTATTTATTTTTAGAGAAGGGAAAGGGGGAAGAGAGGGAGAGAAACATCAATATGTGGTTGCCTCTTGGACACCCTCTAGTGGGGACCTGGCCTGCAACCCAGGCATGTCCTTTGACTGGGAATCGAACCAGTGACCCTTTGGTTCACAGGCTGGTGCTCAGTCCACTGAGCCACACCAGCCAGGGTCTTCCTTCCAATCTTCTACAAAGGATGTGTGGTGATTGGGTTGGCCTTAGCTTGATTTGAGGGCCCACCACTTCTGAACTCCACCACTCCCATTCCTGGCCCCCTTCCCCTACTCAGCTTCTGGGACAGGCTTGTTTTTCTGGGGGGGGGGGTATATTTTTTTAAAAATTGTGGTAAAATACACATAACATAAAATTTACCGTCTTAACCATTTTTGAGTGTGCAGTTCAGTAGTGTTAAGTATATCTACATTGTTGTGCAACCAAACTTCAGAACTCTTTTCATCTTGTACACTGAAACTTGACACCCATTTCACAACCATCTCCATTTCCCCTCCCCTGCCCAGCCCCTGGCAGCCAGTATTCTGTTGCCTATGTCTATGAATGTGACTATGCTAGACATCTTATATAAGTTGAGTCCCACAGTATTTGTTTCTTTGTGACCGGCATCATGTCCTGGGGGCGGCTCACTCTTGCCCCAAGCCCGGTTTGCCCTGCCTCCCCACCCTGCCTCACCCCTTTGTGAGCTCTGTGTCCTCTGCCCAAAGTGCAGCCCCACCTGCTGTCACCGTACTCATCCTTCAGATGGCTAAAAGCCTGCTTCTCTGGAACCTGGTTAGTGATTCTCTCCTCTGCCACACACTGCACCTTCTTCTGTTTCAAATAACTGCTTGCCCACACTTGACTTAACATCCTTCATGGGTCATGTCTGTGTGTCCAGGACAAGATAGGGCATGGAGTAGGCGTCTGGAGGGACCGTTAAAGCATCATACAATGAATGAATGAATGGACGAAGGAACAAATGAATGGGAAGATAAATGAATTAATGGACAAACTTGACCCAGCTTTTGCTTGGGCAGAAAAATAAGAAATGGTTCTTTCAGCTGTTTCATTTGGATTCCATTTGCAAGAAATGAAGATCATTTAGGACTTTGGACCCATATTTGGACTCAGAGATGCATCCTGGCATCCAGGAGGGAAGGCAGCAGCACTGGGTAGGAGGGCCTGAGTGTTAGGAACTACTGACTCTGGCTGCTTATGCCCTGGTCTCAGTCCCACATAGAAAGTCTGGAAACCTCAATGAATTTTAGCATGTCAGTGGTGGGTAACATTCCCATTTTACAGATGGAAAAACAGGTCAGGACAGCAGAGCAGGATCAGATCCCTATTCCCTTCCCAGGATTCCTTATACATCCAGCTGCCTCCCTGATTCGGTTTTCAAAAGGTTTGAACTCCAGGCAGAGGCCTGGCTTCTACAGAAGGAGTCAAGATGGGGTGGGGTGTGGGGTGAGCAGAGGAGGCAGCAGTACTGATTTCTAAGCTTCCTTCCTTCAGCAGACCCAGCGTGAAAGGCTTTAAGGGCCCCTTCAGCCTTTCTTCCCCAGAAGAATGGCTACTCAGAGGTTGCTGGCTTTGTCTAAAAGGGCCTGGGCCTGGAATTAGCACAGAGGGTCCCCTTCCTGCTTCTTACAATGACTCCTTTCAGCCTCCCTGCCACTGACATGCCTCCCCATTGCTCCTGCGGCCCCTCAGATCCCCACTCCAAGGACCCACCTTCAACTCCCCTACCCCACCCCACTCCCAGCCTCTGCTCAGAACTGAATCCTTCTGGTAGGGATTCTATGAGTTCACCAGACCCTTCCAAGGGCCGGTGGGGTTGGTGGTGGGATAAGGGCTGGGGGCTGGTATTATTACCCCTTCTATAGAAGAAGAAACTGAGGCACAGAGAGATCAGGTGGGTAAGTGAAGGGAGAGGTGCACCTTAGGCTTCCAGTTCCCAGGCCAGCGTGATCATGTGATCATCACTGCTTCATAATGGGGCCTCAGTACCCAACCCTCTCCGGCAGCCGCCCCTACCCCACAGTAGAGTTGCCTCGGGCCCACGCCTCACTCCATCCAATTACACAATGCCAGAGGCTCATGGAGTGATAGAATCACAGACTCAGACTGGCGGAGAGGAGCACAGCAGCCAACCTCTCTCCATTGCACGGATGGGAAAACTGAGGCCCAGAGCAGAAAAGGACCTCATTTGTGGTCACTCAGTTAGTAGGTGGTAAAGGCAAAATTAAAACCTTAGTCTCTTCTCTCCACTGACTGTGGTGCTTAGGGCCAGGGCCTAGCTACCTTGAAATTCTCCCCTCTGAGTGGTAACTCTGGTCCAGTCCTCATGCTTCCAGCCCCACAGGTTGCATACCCTTCCCCTCCTGGCCTTCCGTTCCAGGCTCCAGCACAGAGCTCTGTCAAGAGAGTCTTGGGTCATCCCTGAAGCCCTCTAGCTCTGGCCTTCAGCCAAGCAGGAGCTTGGTTGCACCCATGGTCCCTGGGCTTACCCCGAAAGCCTCCTCTGTCAGCTCTGGCTCGGAAGGGATAAAGTTCCTGGGGTGGCAGGAGGAAGGGGGTGCCAGGAGGAAAGGGGTGCTAATCTCTCCGGCAGCATTGGCAGCACTGACCTTTGCCTTCCCTGTGCCTAGTCACCCACGGCTCCACTGGCTCAGAGGACCTGAACCCCTGCTTGGGAGCCTTGCAGAGCCAGAGGTCCTGCAGAGCAACGCCGGTCCCACAGCATCAGAGACATATAGAGCAGGTTACGGGGCGTGGGGGCAGCAGCTGGCGGGGGCAGCACCAAATCAACATATAACACAGTCCAAGGAAAGGCACCCTCTGCAACCTCTAGGAGGAAAGACCAACTTCACAGCCAGGCTCAGAGACAGGGAGGCAGACAGAGAAACAAATCAAAGAGCAAGAGAAAGGGAAAGACAGAGAGAGAGAGAGAGAGAGAGAGAGAGAGAGAGAGAGAGAGAGAGAGAGACAACAGAGATCAATAGAGAGGAAGGCAGACACGGAGAGTTAGAAGGAGAGACAGA